AAGTGGCGTGTGGTGCATTCTGCAGGCAGGAAACTAGGCCATGGGCACAAGTATGTCTCCAGTTACAGTGTTATCTCTTTTCTACACATGTGATCGTCTTTCTTTCTCACAGTGTTGACTTGTGATGTACTCCTATCAAATGTTAACCCAACAGAAGTCTGAATAAATATAGAAGAATAATGAATCATTTAAATATTTAGATGAGAAAGTTATGTGTTCTAAGGCGACATTTTTAATTGCATGACAATGCACAAATGATCATACAGATATGTCTCTACAATATGTTGTCTGACAAAATTTCCATTAAAGCTGCAGAAGGTCATGTTTATAAAATAACTTTTAGCTTGAGCTTTCACTATCGCCTGACTAAAGTATAGTAAAAAAAATCCAGTTCCTCTGCCTCCTCCTAGTGCTCCTAATGGCATTTGTGAGAATCAACCGAAAACAACCAATCAGAGCTGAGAGAGATGAGTTGATTGTTGAGTCTTTTACCCAAAGCCTCTATATTTTGTTGCTCTCTTTCTTGGTACTGATTGGCTGATTTTGTTAAGATGTGATAGATTCTTGATTCTTGCCATTAGGACCACTAGGAGGAGCCAGAGGAACCTGATTATTTCCACAGTATCTGTCTAATGAACTACTGTCAGGATATAGGGAAAGTTTCAGCAAATATGACAAAATGTAATTGACCCTCGCTAAGTCCCGCCCCTTTTTGTTCTGTGCACCAATAACAGTTGAGCAAGACCTGGTCAACTTTATCCTCTCATGTACTTAGATATGGAAAAGGTAACCATGTTTATGAAACAACCACAATTTGAAGATGTTTAAAAGATAAAAGTGACACATACTCACATCTGAAGTAGTTAATGTTAGCAAAATGCTAGCAAAGTAGCTAGCAAATTTTTTATCAATCGTTAGTCAGCAAACATAGATGAACCTAGCACTTAGCATTCAGGTATCTACATACAGGAGAGGAGGAAGTTGACCGATGTTGTGACCAAGGCTTGCTCAAATGATATTGGAGCACAGAGCTAAAAGGGGCAGGACTTTGGATGATTGGACGATTGTAACTATCATAAAGATCAGTTACAAATCAACAAGTACGGTGGCCCACACTAAAGAAAACAGAATGACACCAATGAAACACAATCAAAAACATTTTCCCTGCAGATTCACCGAACCCCACTCCTCCTGGAGGAGGTGGAGGGGGTGGTGAGCGGGCAGAGGGAGGACAGGGAGGCCAGCCGGTCGTCCGAGAGCTATGGTTCATCGTGGTGATGACAGGCATCGCCCTGCTGCTGCTGGCCATCGCCTTAGGTGTCATACTTCATAAGGTAAGAGACAGTTATGTTGTTATACAGTGTGTCAGGAGTGAATGCCCGGGAAAGGAATGGTCCCAACATCACAGGTCCTTTAAAATCCTTTCTTTCATCAGCAAGAAAACAGTCACTTTTGGGAGCCTTCACTTAGGCTTCACTTAGGTTCTGTCTTTTCTTCCCGTGATCCTGCTCTAGGTCCTGAACAAACCCCCATTCACCAGAGAGAGACCCCCACTGGTGGCCCTGCCCATGCAGAAGAGGAGCCCCATGGCTGTTTATCCACCCAGCAACTCTGTTTTGGTGAATGGACATTCTTTCATTTACTAATCACTATTCACTACATGGAGAATGAGTCTTTTTAATGCCAGACACTATGGCTGTAACTAATAACATTAATGGCGGCTCTGTTTCATTCAAGTGTGCCAGACTGCACAGTGCTAACCCTCTTCAACTGGAACACCTAAATGGAACGCAGCCATTGTTATTGTTATTAAACATTCCTGTGGCTTTCCTGCTAAGACTTAAGAAGTATCTGCAGTGAAAGTGAAAAGAGCCTATTCTGTATAGAATTATACTTTTTCAACTCGAAAGAAGTGATAGTTTAAGATGTATTTATTTGCAATACAAATATATTTATTGAGCTGGATATTGCTTGCCATTCCCAATGACATTTTCTTAATATTTTTTTTTGTTGAGTTTTAATGTCAAGGGAACACCCCAATGTTACCACAAAAAAAGAAAATGTGTAATGTATATACTAATATAATGATATATAATATATAATATATTGTTTGCACTTGATAAAAGACCATCTTGTTCACTTGTTTTTAGTTCTTATTGTGGGATTATTTTTGGAAGTCTGAGTTGTATAAGTGGTGGGATGTAACTAAGTACAGTTACTCATGCACTATACTTAAGTACAGATTTGAGATATTTGTACTTTACCTGATTATTTTTTTCCCCATGCAACCCTAACCCTAACCCTTAAACGTCTGCGTCACAACATTTCAGAGCAGGGTAATATTGTACTTTTTTACTCCAGTTAACAGTTATTTGAAAGCTTGAGTTTCTAATTACAAATTAGGATTTTACACAAACAAAATGTTGCTGAAATGCAGCTGAAACAATTCATCAATTAAAAAAACAACTACAACAGTAAAATCACGTTTTAACATGAATGTATAATAATAATAATTTAATGATAATATATAATAGTATAACAGTCACAGTACTTTTACTTTTATTATTTTAAAGGACCAGTGTGTAATATTTAGGAGCATCTATTGGCAGAAATATAAGTTATATTTAGTTATATTTGTGCCTCATCCATGAATATCTGAGATATTTTTATATTTTGTAGAGAAATTATTATCATGCAAAAAAATAAATAGTTTGAGCAAACAGAAATCTCTACAAAATATAATTCATATCCTAGGCACACATATAAAAGCCATAAATGACAACTAACGCTAATAAATGGCATTCAAAATCCATAGCAAAGAGTTTCACACACAGTCCATGTTTTCCTGTTTGCTTACAGAGTGTAAACCTGTTGTTAAAGTCTCACCTATTCTCCTTTTTCAGTTTGACACTGTACCTGACACAACAGGCTTCTCCAACAGTGTAACCCTCAAGGGCTTCACGATGAAGATGGAGGTAAAAACCAACACATACAAAGAAGTACTTGCACATGTGCAATGGCATACATATCCACCTTTCTCCCCTCCCACCAGGAAGTGCTGGAGGCTAAATGTGAGCTTGTCGACGAGGTCCCGCCGCAGGGTGAGCTAGGGATCCTCAGTGTGAACTCCCTGAGGCGCAGCGTCAGCCAGGTGATGGACGGGAAGTCCCTCACAGGGGACGACGAAGTGTGGGACCCACACGTTTCAGGCCATGACAGTGGGATGGTGAGAGACCCCAAACACGTACGCTGAAGCTGTTCAGACCCCTGTGTTACCGCAGTTGTTGCTGTTAGTTCAGTTCTGGTCTTAGACAAAAGAATCTCATCCAACACAAGCATTACACATATTTTCACAGCGGTGCATCAATACATAGATACATGGGTGAGACAACTAGACATTAACACACATTTACACAGACGCAGAAAGACCTATTTAAACAAGCTTATAAAGTGATCTTCTGCTGAGTCCTGCATCCTCCATTTAACAAGCTCTGCTCCTCTTCCTAACAGTTTATGGACGACGAGGAATTTGTTGACACCATCAAAGGCTTCAGCACGGTGAGGAAGGAGCACACCATGTTCACTGACACCAACCTGTGACCCAAGGATGACCTTTGAACCCTACAGGACACAGGGCCTTGGATGTTTTAACATTTTGACGCCTTGTTTCGTCTGAAGCCCTGACCAGTTAAAGTGTCGCTGTGGTTGTAAACAGGTCAGACGCAGCAGAGGTGAAGTTTCTTCTCTCTTAGGATGAAAAATGAAGGGAGAGGAGCCAAACATGACAAGAGCACTGGAGTAAGACATTAAGACACAAGTGGTCAAGCTACATTTGAAGTTTGAAGGAGGAAGTCTGAGGATATACTCAAAACTAAAACAGCTGAATACAGACTGAATACAGATTCTGAAGACACAAGAAACCAAAGACGTGAACACAGAACATAGTCATCTTTTTGAGTTTGTTCCACATATTTTCCCCACTAGAGAGACTACTTTTATGTGATAATTTAAAAAAAGGTTACTTTTTTATTTTATTATTATTATATTATTATTCTTTCATTTTCAATCAACTCTCCATGACTGGAAACTTTTGGTGGATGCAGCTTGCAAGTGCCATTAAGTTAATCAGTAGTAACTGGGAGGACCATGCACAAAACAAACTCTTTCCTCTTGTCATTTTTTGGTTTTCCTACAATACTCTGTGTAGTCTGAAAGATGACATTAGCAAATTACAGTGACCACATGTAGGTCAGATGGTGGTATCCAACTGGGTAAGATGGAAGATGTTTTGTTGGCAAGGACTATTCGACTGAGTATTGGATCGTTCAGCAGCTTTTACACAAAACACCTGATTGATATGTACAGTTTGATATGATATAGAAAATGGGGACAGGAACTGGTTGGTTGCTACTTTAAATACAGCAAATGATTGACACAACTAGCTTCAGGCCTCGTTGTCCTCAATGCGTAAGTTTGTCATCCATATTTAAGCAAACGGTCTTGTGAATTATTCAACATTCATAAGTTTTGTAGTTAAATTATCAAGACACACCATGTATAGTCAGTTATGAACAAGGAGTTAAATATACCAGAGCAATTATAAAATGTCCCTTTTCAGGTTCACTTAAGGTATGTGAGACTTTGTTGAAGGAGGTGAAAAAACTACTAGTTTTCTTTTATAAGTAATTTTTAATGAAAATAACTGCACCTGTGTCAATGTCATGCATGTATGTCTAAATATGGTGAAAGACAGGATTAAGTATTCTTTTATAGAAAAAAATCTCCAGCTTAAAATAAATAAACCAGCATGTTATTTGAAATTGTCACAGAGCAAAGAGCCTTGCTTTTATTTTGTTAATACATGTAAAGTTCAAGTAAAATATGTGATTTCTGTTCGATATGCATGGGCAGTTTGTGGGTACAGAGTGAGTCTAATAAAACGGTGATAAAATACACTTGCACACACACACACACACACCACAGTGAGCCAAAAGCACATAAAAGTCTTCACATATTAATTTATTTGAAATGAGTTGCAATGCAATGCGGGCACAAAACACTTGTACCATTACAGTCAATAACATGGTTACAAAACGAACATTTACATAATAAATTAATATACTGCAGTACCACATAAGACAGTAAACATAAAACCCCAAACTGGGGAATTATATTGCATTAAAAACAAAAAGGAGTTGGTTTAATGTACAAAAATTGTCAGGCATTTACAAAGGCAGCCTCTTTTCTCCATTGCTTGTTTTGTTGTACATATATAAATATAAATCTCTAAATTGTAGTTACATTGATATGTCTGCTAAGAAGTGACCAGATTAGGGGCTCCGCCCTGAGACGAGACCCTCCACTAACGTCCATGCTGTCATTTCATTATAAAACACAAGATAGATTTACACGGTTGGTGTCATTTTCATTTAAGCTTTTGTGAGATTATGATCAACCGAGGGATGTTCTCCTAAAATGGCTCGTGTTTTACCGCCACAAGCCTTGTGATGTTTAACTTTTCCCTTTTTAATAGATTTTAACAGTTTGAATTCATTACTTGCTTTGAGTTGCTCTGCATTCTACTGCAACATGCACTTGTCCCTTTAGTGTGATATCTATATGTCCATAAACAAAACAAATTAATCGTTATTAGAAATGTGTCTGCAGCAGTAAAGTGCCAGGAGCACATGCTAGTCTGTGAATGTTTTCAAAGCTGGGAACAGTAGAAACAACAGTTATATATAAATAGTTAAATAGCACTACAAGCTTCCTTTACAAAATAATTAATTGGACCCCTCAAATTTAAGCAACCCTTTGTGCAATCTTCCCCAACATCCATGAACTTTATCACACCCCTTTTCATCTTCCCATGCACCTTTCTTCTCGCCACTTCTTCTTCTCGCATGAGAGACACGCTTAAAGTATTTCATCGATAAAACTAAACTCCTTTTTTTAAAAGAGTCTCCCCTTCTCCTACAACTTAACAACTGATTTTCTAAAGAGTCTAAGTTTAACTGCATCCACGCTCTCGTCTCTAGACTGCTACATCAAGCAGATGCTACTGAAGCCTGTACATTTAACTGCTGGCTACACCTGCTACTATTACTACTAGAGTCCAGGACTTTAAGCATTAAATTGTGTTTCAACAAGTCATGACATAATCAACATCTGTAAAATGCTACCCTGATTTAGTCAAGAGGCTACAATGATTACCCCCATCTGCTCGTCCAGGTATTTAGAGAAATTTGTTGAAAAGATAAAAGTGCAGCAAGTTTAAGTGTCGTTGATAAAATGTCGCCAGAAACATACGAAGACTCAGGAATGTCAGTACCTTTCAGAACAAGATTTTAAATTACTAACACTGATGATCGTACCTGAGAGCTAGACTAGACCTGATCTGACCGTGTGTGGTGCACCTGTAGTAGCTGGTGGTCTGAACATTAGTGTACCAACCTGCTGATGACACACGCAGTGCTAGATTGGTGGTACACGGTTTTTAAAGGGGCGCTCCAGTGATTTAGTATCGCACTGCCGTAAGGGTTGGGAGACATGCAAGAGATGCATTGACCAACAGAATGGTCAAAGTTGATGAGGCAGAGGCTGAGATATTCTGACTTTTAGTCCAAAAACACTGCATCCTACATTTCCCATAATCCAACCTGGGTGTATTTTTGTTTGACTAAACATGCACAAATGTTTTTACAGGCTGAGCTGTACTCCGTATGATGTGTAAACTCAGTGGAGCGCCCCTTTAAGGTTGTTTAAATTCTCATGCTCATGATGACCAATAAGAGATAAATCGAACCGGATGCATGACAACAATTGACAACATGTTGACGTGCTTTTGGCACCACAAGCTTAAGCTTCTAAGCTTCATCTAATGCTAATCTAGTGAGACGTACTCTGTAGTACCTCCACCACATATTCCACTACAACATGACCAGATCACTGACAGACTAAAGTGCTACCACAAAATTTACAGTTAAAGGGTTAACAGATAGAGAAAACCTTTTAACAGAAGCTTAACTACACAATTATCAAACCTACCTACCTTTTAACATAATCTTAACTACGCTGTTTATCTAATGCTTTTATACTAATGCTAAAATGTTATACGAGGTATTTGCAGACTCATGTTAATGAGGACTCTCCTGGGGAAGTGATAAAGTTGTTGGGGGATGGTGGTCACTACTCGAGGGCTCAGAGGTCAATGGACAGCATTTACAAAATAATGTTGTGGTCACAAAAGTGGCTACTGACAAGTCCCCAATCTCACTAAAAACAAACCCCTTCTCCGAAAAATATGCTTTACATGTTTTTGTTCATCCAGCTTTTACTTTGTCAAAACTTTTTTCCCTTTTTCAAAAAGTAAAAAGTTTCCAAAACTGTGCGATTTATCTTAAATTGTATACAAAATATTTAATTTTTAACATTCAACTAACTGCTAATATTGAGCATAAACCCAAAATCAACATGTGGAGACAGGTGGACCTATGATTTTAGATTTTAAAATTAAAGGGTTTGCTCTTTGATCCTTAGCAAGCAGAGTTTTTCAACCCCAAGATATTATTAGCAATCAACAAATTATGCCATTATGGCAAAAGTTTCCATTCAGGAAAAACAAAATGTATGCTCGATATCACAACCATCCTGGCACTCTGAAATTCAGCCAGCATTTGTTTTACTCCATCGGGCATGAATTACACGGATGCAAACGCATTTGAATTTACAAATCTGGACTGGACTGGACTGCATCTCCCTCACACAGACCTGCTGATAAAATACACCTGACCCTGTCTCCATTCAAGAGCTGCTGGCTAATCAGGAAGTGAGGTGTTCAGACTAATACTGATTACTGGCATCCATAGACAAGTCATCATGCAGTCAGGATATACAGGGTTGTAGCACTCAGGCATTAAAGAGTTAAAACATTACAAATGAAATGAACTATACAGATTGAAGAGCTATCACTAGAGTTAAAATCTAAGGAAAAACAACAGTGGCAGGGTAAAAAAAAATGCCACAAGGAAAGAAAGTCTATGTGCTGACAAACAGGGAGGAAGGAAGATTTGGATTCTTAATCCATTATCCGAGTTCGTCCGGATTACCAGAACCCTCTTCTGATGGTCCAATGGTTCTGGAAACAGGAGGCTCGCCTTTGGCTTTACGTAGGACAAAGAACTGTGGAGAAAAGATGAGATCAGCTGATTATCAATGCTGCCGAAAAAAAAAATTACCTGGCACATGAAGGAGAGCTGTACATTATGTAAGAGCAACTACCGCAAGGAGGAAATGCAGGGTGAGAAAAGAGAAGAAAAAAATAGGTGAGAAGCAGACATGTGAACAGCTGCTACTACAAGCTTGCAGTAAAGGGGGAATCATGTGCATGAGTGTATTGGTGTGTTTCAGAGGTAGGTGTAGTGCAGCCACAAGCACCACAGAGCACGATAGGCACTACAGCAGCGAGTGAGTGGGGGGAAGGCTGCTGCTTTTGAAGGAGGGAGATAGTGATACTACGAAGACGTACTGAGAGAGAAAGAGAAAAGGGCGTTTGACAGGGCTCAGAGGGCTGAAGGTGAAGAATCTGTGTTAATGTGTCAGTGCCTCACAAACCTCAGTTTCCACTGCTCTCATACCAGAGCTACCCAAAGGACAATGCAGCACAGACGAAAGACAAGGAAGGTACAGGTCAACATTGAAGGGTGGCAAGAAAAGCATTTTTCCCCCTCCCTTTAATTAATCCTTGTGTTGAGTGCTACTCTTTTCTTTTCTCTGCGTCATCATATTTTTTACCATTAGCTTCCCTGAAAATGGAGAAATTTTGCACTTCCTCTTTCAGGCAACAGGGGGCAGGATGTCTGAATGTCAGGTGGCACAAACAAAAGCCACCTAGCAGTGACAGACACCTCTAAATATAACTCGCTTTCGGGACACATTTTGAGGTTTTGTTTTGTACATTACTGCAATAAACATGATGTGACTGAAGTTGCTCAGCTTTTCATCCTACTCACTGATGTATATAAGTGACTGCGGACAGCTGTGTGTTTACCTTTGAGAATGTAGTCTGTTAGCAGGGCAGGCACCTTCTCGCTGTCATCCCTCATGGCGTGGAGGACTAGCAGGGAGAGAGCAGCACGTTACACTCTTTGAAAACGTAACATGCACTGTAAAAGTAAAGTAAAATAAAGAAAACTCGCCCGAAAACATGAAAGCAAACAAGTTGCAGAGACTAACACATCTAATTCTGTCATTATGGTCCGGTTGGCGTGTGTGTGTCGATACACTCACTCTTTGTGAGGATCTGGAGGTCTTCTACCGACGGGGAGCCGGCTTTCTTCTCATAAGGGATTACTGTGGTCAGGTACTGAAAGAGAGAAGATCATGTAAGACAATGAAAGAAGACTGTTATACATATATATTATATATACATTATACATATGGTATATAGCGTCATTGCACACCCTTAATCCTAAAACAAATAATGTTTCCGTGTTGTAAGAAGGTGATAAAATATGATGTCTGTCAGTGCCATGAAGGTCGACATAAGAACATGATCAGCAAGTGCAGGCTGGTAGTTAGTTTCAACATGGAGTTAATAGAGTAAATGTTCACTTTAATGTGAGCTAAAGAAAGCAATGAATATGCAATAATGGTTTCTTGGCTTAAAACAAAGGAACAACAGGATGATGACACAGTAAAAGCTGCAAAATATGACATGTAATGAAATAAAATAAATAGAATGGCATGTGAAGGACAGAAATCAAGTTATTAAAAAATGAAGCAAGATAAAAAAAAATTCAAATTAAAAAAAGAAAACAGATATAACAAATCACTGGCCGGACGCCAGGGGTAGCTGTTGAGAAAGAAACAAACATGCCGGTGGTAAAAAAGAAAAAGGACAGAAAAATATCTGCAAAGAAAAGGGATGTGAGTTGAAAGAAAGAGCAGGGGCACCTGTTTGTCCCCTCCTGTGTTGCCAAAAGTTTGACGGAGGCCATTTTGAATGACATTGGAGAGTCCCTCCAGAGTGAGGAGCTACAAGGAGTGAGAGGAAGTAGGAAAAACAGAAAGCAAAGAGAGATGAGGAGGTTTCTATATTACGGGGAAAGTGGGAAAAAGGTTTGGCACAGACCCCTTGGTGCTGGTATAAAAGCAGCTCTCCCATGTAAACATCTGTCAGGTCATGCATTGTGCATTTCTGCTTATACTTTGAACACGTGTGTGGCAGTGTACATGTGTGTCTATGTTACTGATCGTCATTATAAATCATGCACACGGCGTATATGCGTTTGTCTTATGCCTCCCACGCCGTGTCAGCACATGACTCACCGTGCCTGGTATGTGTGTGCTGGCTGTCCTCTGGCCGTTGGGCCCCATTGTAGTCGTACTTCTGATTTTCTTCTTCTTCCGCAGCAGCTCACGGTGCTCCTTCTGTCTGTTCTGCACGTCGATCAACAGCGAGATGAAGCTGTTCTTCACCTGTTTTTTTTTTTTTTTTAAATACAAAACTCCTTAATTTCTGTTGGTTTTTAGGATCAAGCTACCATTTACTTTTGTCATTACATGTATAAATAGAGAAATCTATTTTTATCTACTGTTTAAAAATACACGATGACAGAGTCATGTCACTGAAGCAAATTACACTGTAGAGACAAAAAGCTGCTAGCGATTCACTGACCTCTATCACCGCTGCTATCTATCACAGAACGCTGTGAGCACTGCAGTCTGTTCTCACTACACAACAGATGTTCAAATGGCCATCTTTGAATCAAGTCACTAACATTTAAAAGCTTCTTCACAAGGAATCACTTTGGAATCTCTCTGACCAATTATGGCTTTAAGGTCGACTGAATGCTGTTAATAGTTCAGTCATGTTTGGACAGGTTCTTAGCTTTTCACAAACTGAAATCAAAGTACCTCCTTTTCATAGTCCAGTTCATCTCTCAGGGCCAGAGCCTGGATCAGCTCTTCACTGTAGCGGCGAATGGCCGTCTCTACTTCCTCCAGAGTCTCGGTCAGCTCAGACACAGACAGCTGACGCAACCCTAAGGATGTTGGTGGATATATTAGGAAGAAGTAGCGTGACCAACAGTTTACTCATGTACTTGTGTGTATGGGCTTGTCTGAAAGCATGGTAGGTTTGATGAGTATTCAGCATGTGAGGATGGTAGTTTGACATTTTCACTTTGGGAGCCTAATTATTCCTGAATGGAACACAAAATACCAAAATGTTGAATATTCATGATTACTGTTAGGTAACTGTTTCCAATACTGCCATCAATTAATAATCACACGGTCATCAAAAATCCCTGTCATAACTGAGATACAGGCACTTAAAGCACAAAATCTCCTTTTAAAAAGAAAGAAATGTATCATCCATCGCAGCTAAATGTTAGCATCCAGACCCAAGCACACAAAAGCTTCCTTTGACCTTTGTAGCGTAGTATATTCAAAACACAAGGTGCATAAGATTAAAATGGTCATTGTAAAGACGATACAGTGGAGTGCTTCCTAGCATATGAAGGCCAAGTTCAAGTGGTGGAAGTGATATGAATCTAAAGTGTGAGTAACCAGCTCAGTGTAAATACTGAGAACCTTGCAAAGCTCGTTATGTGCCACCCAATATGTAAAACACACTACATGCTCTAGTTGATATACGCAGATACTGGAAGCAAAATCTGTACCCTTAAGGCAAACTGGGTGCAAATGTTCAGTCCACACCAGTCTGGCAAGCCAAATATATGCTGCTGATTATATAACATGCAGGAACATCGTAATTGATATCTGTTTGTAACACATTACATAAGAGCGGCTTCTGTTTCTTCATGTGACAGGCTGTGCGACCCACTACACTTCATTAAGTGATTTAGATAACCGTCAAATGGCAGTAGAGTGTGAAAAAAAGCACTGCTGTCTCACAAGGGGTGAGCACAATAACAAAGCACCCCAACCACTGACGCGTACTCACGGTCCTCATAGCTGGTGTTGGAGCCGGAGCGTTTCAGAGTGTGGAGGTCCTGAGAGAGCATGGACAGGTCGGACTGTGAGGGACTCTCATCATCTTCTGGGTCTGGAGACTCCTGCATCATCTCTTCTATCTCCTCTATGACCTGAACACACACACGTTGTGAATTTGTAGGTTTAGGTACGGGTGTATGAGACTATGTGACAGTGGTTTTCGATGTTAGTTTTGTGGATAGAGAGGGGGTGAAGGTTTGTTGTCGATAAAATTGCTGTTTACACATGGATATTTACTGATTGAAACACTGTTTTCCTGTATAATGTTATCACCTCAGTGCCTAGTGAGCTTCTGGATCTCCTGCCAGAGTTCTATGTTAACATTATGCTGAGATACTAAATGCTAAACATTGTTATACAGAAAACATTACTGAGCAAACAGGATGGACTTTGGATTAATTATTTGGCCAAGGCTTATAGAAGGGAAATTGTTCCACAGACATGAATTTGCATGTTATGCAAGTATGTTGCAGATGTGAAAGGCACCATGGACAGGAAACAACAATTTGCAGCACAGCGATTTGATATAACTTATAAGCTCAAATGTCCGAACATTCTGTGAAAAACAGTGCTATATTAACATTACGGCCGTATTTACATTTTGATAGGAGTTTTCCAAATATATATATATTATATTTTTATTATATAACATTCCAAAACAACCATGTGAAAGCAACGCATACCACTGTGAGCGTGAAAAGTCACCTGTTCGGCTGTGAAGAGCGGCTCGTCGTTGATGCAGGAGACGATTATCGAGTGCATATCCATCTGCTCCCTCAGCTCCTCGTCGTCGGACAGATCCAGAGACTGGTTGTCCAACTTCTGTCCATTGGGGGAAGGAGGGAGAGAGATTTCAGAAAGAAAGAAAGGAAGAACTTGGATGAGACTAACGAACAGGTGGTTAAGCAGATTGAGGGCAGAGGAGCAGACTGTTTACATTTGGCTCGTCTCCTGAAAGGTGACATCAAAACCAGAGCAGAGGTACGGGAATGTTGCCCGCGTGTTTACTGTGTGCTTGACATATTCCACTAGGTGTGTCTGTGTGTGTGTGTGTGTGTGTGTACGTGCGTGTCTGTGTGGGGTACCTCGGGCTCAGTGAGGTTGAGGGTGGGCAGGTGTAGGGAGCGAGTGTGCGATGTCTTCCAGTCCACAGCCATCACGTTGCCGTAATTATCCGTCAGAGCGTTCCACACCCTGGAGGAAAGCAAGAGAGGCTCGTGATTCAACTATTGGAGAATACTGTGAGAACCAGAATATAGTTGTGAGCAAAGAACACACGATAAGGGAAGAGTGTTCACCTCAGAGCAGATAAGACAGACCCTGTTTCCTTCTCTTTTTTTACTGTGACACAGCATTACGGTCAGTGTTACAGTATGCCCTGCTGTCTGACCACCCCCTCACCACAATGTGTTCCTGCTGCTGCATCTCACAGCAGCCATCCGAACCCACTGACGAATGCACCAGCGCCTTATTCACACACGCCATTTTGTTCCCCAGTAAACATTCCCTGGTGAGAGACATTGACGCATACGCAGTGGTTCAACCTTAAAGCAGAGGTCCGCCAGCTTTTTGGTAGCCCATATGGAGTTCTTTTAAGAACTGTGTGTTGAGATCATTAGAGGATTTTTGAAGTTTGCTAATAATCTCGAATCTGGTTCAGAAACAGTGTCATCATTACACCAACAGGCTGTTCAGTGTATACTCTGCAACAAGCTACTTGGCAGAGGACTTATCACAGCCGAGCATATGGTAGCGTGGAGTCTGTTAAACAAACAAATTTACTGTTCAACTGCGAAATCCATCTTTTTCTTTTACTGGGTACCAAACTTAAGGGATTGTTGCAGAATATGTGCAAGTATATAAACATATAATCTGAAATAATCATTATTTATTTTTGCCACATGTTGGTATCAACTCAAAACATCCAGTTTTTGTAAAGTTCTACACATTATACACGATTTGAGCAGTCAAATGTTAAGTGCATTTGTATATATACTAAATAAAACTGCCCCTTTATGTGGCTCCTATTAAAAAACAAAACTAAAAAGAACAGAAAAAGGAAAATGGAGTCTGTGCAGAATATAAAATTCAAGTGCAAATGCAAGTCACTGTGTTTTTATCTCTGGTCCTAACTGCTGCGGGCAGAGCGAGGATGGATGCTGTGAACCCATGTGTCAGAGTGACTCTGCATCGTCATACTCTCTCTCACACACACACAGAGACAGACAAATGTTTATGTAACTCGCATGTTTCTCCCTGAAGTGCTCATGCACAGCTTGGGGAGTGGGGGGCTGAGGGGTTGCTCTAAATAGGGCAAAGGCTGGCAGGAAATATATTTTGTGCCTCAAGCAAAGACACTGTCTGACACGTGAGTGCGTGCCAAACCCCCCCCATTCGCTTCACTTTCACAGACAGCATTTACATTTAAAAAACAAGGCTCGTCCGTATTTCGTCCGACCAATTGGCTTGTTTCTACCTCAACGCTATGCCAATTTGTCAGACTGACTTTCGTGAATATATTTATGTGGATGTTGTTGTATCAACACTCATGGGCACACATAACCCGCATGGCTTTCACACAAACACGTTTAGCTTTCTCCAGGCTCACTCTCACCCAAACCCGCACACATTTCCCCCTCGTCATCCCCGTTGTTCGTCTCAGTCACGGTCTTGCTGGAGAACTTGTTAAGCGCCTGGGCACGTCCTGCAAAGTGCAGTCATCCAGAAAAGACTCTCACTGAGCCTGGCGCTGCTCTTTGGGCTTCACCGGGCTGCGGTCCAATTATTCTGTTCCCTCTTCCCTCCGTCTCTTTACCTACAACAACTATAGAGGTTTATTTCCCTGTCTGTCCATCCTTCTTACATTTCCCTAAACATTTAGAGCACCATTAACTCCAAGACTGTTGCTACTGCTCGCTGTGCTAAGCTCTCCACTACGGTATTCGACCAAATGTTCAAGAAAAACAAATATCCAAGGTCCAAGGTGTTTGAGCTCCATCACAAGTCCTCAGTTCTCATGTCAAACTGATATCTGTGACATTACCTGCTAGATATTTATCTAATATCTAATATCGTACAGCTGGAATGATGAATCGGTTTACAGAAAATTAATTGGCATTGGCAAAATACTTCTTCAAGCACAAATACTTAAAATGCACTTGTTCCAGGTGTGAAAATGTACTGCTTTATTTGTCAAAAATGTCATGTTAGGCTAAATATATTTTGGTTTCGGACTGTTGGTTGGACAAAACAAGCAATCTGAGGACGTCAAAAAATTGCAATTTTCTTTTATTTCTTTTATTTTCTTTCTTTTATCATCCATCAATCGAGAAAATAATCAACAGGCTAGCTAATTAGCACACTGCAACTGATGACTTAGTCGTTACAGTTTATTGCGCTGATAATTGTCTTGAATCTCTATAAATAGTGGGAAACATGAACACAGTGCCCATCATGACGTCTTCAGATGTCTTTTTTTGTCCGACCAACAGTCCAACCCCCAAAGACATTCAGTTTGTAATATTATAATAGCTGTACAGAGAAAAGCAGCAAATCATCACACACAGAAAGTATTGGGAATTCTAACTAAATAAACGACAATAACTGCAAATTAATTTTCTGATGATAACAAAACCAGCTAAATGATTCTGCTCTAATAGCCGATAATAGAAAAATGACCATTAGCTGCAGCACTAAACCATTGCTTCTTAAAGTACATGTTCACCGTCTGTGACCACATACAGTAAAGATCTACACCGTTAACCAATTACACGATCATGTGATAAAATCCAAAACTTAATCTTCAAGCCCTAGTTCACTCACATCCCAGATTCAAGTAAAGCAACACTTTTTAGTGGACATGTGCATGACTAACTTCC